CCATCTCAAAAAAAACTTATCAGCTCAATTTAACTAAGAAAATGAACTGTTTCAAAAATAAATAAATGAGAGAAGGAAGAAATTTTATTTGAACACAAGAAAACAAATAACGTTGCTGAAGTGATAAAAAATCTGGAGTTACAGGACTTTAATTTATAGAAGTTGCTTTCTACATATACTCAACTAACTTGGACTCAATCACAATAACAAACTCTTAGAATATCGCAACAATCTGATGATGACTTATTTCAACATAACAGAGTAAGACTCAATCAACAAAGCAAACTCCTAAATAAATTCAACTACTCCTAAAAAATAGGCCAGTAAGATGCACTAAACTTTGACAGTATGAGGTTTGGTTCAATCCCCACCTAATCCTCAAGGTACCCCTTCAATTCCTTCTTTTTTCAATCTCTCTCTCTCTCTTTGCTGAGAAATTATGAAATGTGTCTTTGATTAATTATACAGGTTTTAGGCATTCAAGATTTTAAGGGTTTGATCTATTCTTGTTTCCATTTTGGGGGTTTGTAGAATTTAGGGAAAAACCTCATGTCTATGTAGCCAAATAATTCTCTCCAATTACTGGAATGATTCTGTCATTTCTTTTTATGTGGCCTGTAGAAGCAATGTAAATATGAGTTTTGAATGTGCCTTTTTAATTGGTTCCTCTAATGTCTCAGCCTCTAGTTGGGGAATCAAGACAGTGTATCTTCATTGCTGAATTTCCACTTCTTTTATTTTCCAAGACCAAGCTCTTGGATTTCGATTTAAAACAACTCCGGGAATCTGTGGCTAGGATTCAAATTGTTGAATTCCCAGCAAGATGAATGTTATTTCAATGTAAACCAGTGGTGCAGTGTTACTGTGGTGTAAAATACACATGTATTCCCCATACTTAAAGTTTAGACAACAGGCGCATTGCTACTTGACTTGTGTGAAACATTTACAGCCAGATTCCGCCTTCTGTCATACGGCTAGGTCTCATCAATTAGAACAGGACATGATGAAAGAGTTCAAATGATTGAGTGAAACCTAAACTTGCCTTTAATATAAGAATAAGTATTCAAACCTCTTAGTTAGAAGAACCTTTCCCTGCTTTTAGGCCTTAAAACATGTGAATATATATAAGGTGATGATTTCCAGGTAAGTTTGGGATTTCTTTTTTGCCCTCCCAAATGTAGTGCATTCTATAAGTTTAGTCTTTGCATGGCTCAATTTAGTCCATTCTATATGTGTTTTTTTCTGGTAAGACAACCATTTAGTCTTCCAATGCTAGCATCCATTACTCCTTTAAAGCCCTAGTTAGGCTATCATGTAACCATTGTTGTTAGTATTGTACCATACATGATATGTATCATACAGTATACGAAAAAAACAATACAAATCATACTTATGTATAGCTTTTGCTTTGTCTCGTACGATATAGTTGTTATGTTGTTTATCACACAATACATCCAATAAGCAGAGCTTATTTTTTATTTTTGGTTTTTGTCGATTAAACAACGCCTTTTCGCCTGGGGATTTATTTTTTAAGCCCTAGACAGTGAAACAATGTTGTTTCACTATCTAGGGCTTAAAGAAAATAAAGCCCCTTTCTTGGTTCGAACAAAGACAACGCCAGGGCTCCGTGAGTGCCTCTGTTTTGGAATCCCCTCTCATCTACTTTGAAAATCCATTGCACAGCTTCTGCTGCTTCAAAAATCTTCTTCGAATATCTTCTCCAAGACTCTGCAACTGCTACAATCATCTTCATTCACTAGCAATGCATCACGAGTGTTGCACGTGAATAATTTTTATACAAAAAAATTAATAATACATAGCAGATATATGTGTATCTGAATTAAATATCACCTCAAATTTACAAAAGTTAATTTTTCATTGCTCATATTTTATTATAAGTTTATAAAAATTTTCTATGTGCCAAAATTCTATGTTTAACTAAAAGAAAATAGATTTTTAAAACAAAATTAAAATTCTATTTTTTTTTTTAGAATTTTGTAATTGAGATTGATTTTTTAGTGATGTTTGAGAAATTAAATTTTTTGAAATTTATTTTATTAAGATTCCTGTTATAATTTATTGAATAAAATAAAAGCAATTGTTAATATACTAATCATATTAGAACCTTATTATAATTAGGAATTTGTTAGGTGAATTGAGATAAAAATTAATATACTACTTTAAAAAATCTAAAAATTTCAAGTTTTACAATATTAAAATTCTAAAAAATATAATTTTTACTTAAAAATGCATTACAATATCTATTTTCATATAAAATCTTAATACAACTTAGAAAGTTTATTGCGACTGAATAATTTTATTGATGTAACGTAAATTGATTTTAAAATATTATATATATGATAATTTTTAATCTTGAAAATGAAAGGTTTAAACTTTTCGATGAAAAAGAAAATACACATACGTAAGTGTAATATTATTTTTGCATATGAGATGAGCAACATTAGATTGATGAAATTTTTAAAGATTTTTTGTACACTTTATTGAAATTACAATAATGCATATTTTTTGAAGAGTAATATAATCAATCAATTTTTATTTTTGTTTATACAAATTGATATTTATATATAGATAATAGATAATTAAAAGATATGTTAGAGATTTAAATATATAAAGATATGATGATAATTTAGATATTTAATTGTCAAAGGATAGAGTGGTCTTTGTAGTTCTTTATAAGAGTAAAATAGAAATTCAAAAATTTTTCATATTAAGATACTTTTATTAGTAATATAGATATAGATTATTTCTACAAAGACTTCGACTAAAACCCTTAGTTGCAAACTGAAACCCTCTGCCCTCAAGTCTTCTTCTTCGTCCTCTGGTTTTACTAGTTTCAGCTTTCTCTTGTTCTGCGACTCTGGTATATGCCTGCAACTCACATGTAAAGTTTGAGAAATGTCTTCTACTCTCCTGCCTCTTGCTCCAACACAAATCCAAAATTCCAAATGTAAGTACTAATTGAAGTTGAAGATGAGGATTGGGTGAACACATGCAAGAAGCTGAGACGGATGAAGGAAGTGAAGACTTGTTGGCATCCGATAACAATGATGATGATGATGCATTTCAATTGAAATTGAAGATTGAGTTGAAAATAGAATGAAATCAATAACAATAAATTGTTTTGGATGTTAGAAGCTAGAATTAGAGGTTTTTGAATTTGATATTAATGAACTTTGTTGAAGACTTGAATAGTTGGTGGAATATTAATGAAGTGAAATGTTGTTATGACTTTTTTTCAAAGGTATATATATTTTATTAATATATTGTTTATAATTGCGTGTATTTTACGATATGTAATACGTTACTATGGGCAATACTCTATTTTTTAAAACGATACGCTTTTCAATAGACGTTTTCATAACCATGCACGTAAGCCAATGGAAGGTATGGGATACTTAGATAGATGCAACCCAGATTTTCTGTAGCCTTTTGTATGAATTACAAAATAGGGAAATGCAATTTTGTCACAAACCCTTCATCCCGTGTAAACAATTCTCTACGGAAAATTCTGAAAATGTTACACTCAAAAAGCCTTCAGAAAGGCACAGTTAAAGTTAGAAACCACCAAAATCTGCATTTACCACGTGCAATTAGGATGATACCCTTAGAAAGCCTCGGGCACAGCCGTAAATGGAACTGTGGCGTGGTTCAAACATCTAGAAGGGCCCTATAGAGGACCTCAAGAAACACTCAGTAAAAGGAAATGGACGTGGCCCCGTGTAGTCTTGAGTCAAGCACTGTTCCTTGGGCTGGAACTAATGCCGACAGTTTATCTGCTAAGGAAATAGGCTGACTTATGACAAAAGTGCCATGAACTGTTTCGAAAAATAAGACATGGAAAAGACCTTTCTTGGTCATATGTTGAATGAGGCTCAAAACCTTATTCACATCGGGATCTTTGGGGGTACACTGTTTGGTGGTTTGACTTAGCTGTAGTTAGTTGCCTAGCTGGCTAGCAAGATTAGGCTTCTTCCTAGCCGAGCAACTCGTGTGTGACTACTGTATAAATGAGGAACGTTCTTTAATGAATGTTGTTTGGCTCCTGCTGAGCCCATCCAGTGGCATAAGAAACATGGTGTGCACTGCTCAGAGCATCATCCACTGAAGCCTGTAATGTGGCGGAAAAGGGCTGTGTTACCTTCGGCCTGTCCTCCCCTGTTATTGTGCTGCTTGGCTCCTCGGTGATTGAGCTGCTTGGATATTGCTTTGAAGAGTGACTATGAGACTATTTCTAATTTCTTTGACCCCTCACCCCCACCCCCAACCCTTAAAGAAAACCCAAAACAACTTTCATGATTTAGGGGAAAGGTTATCAAGGTTATGAGATTATGGGTTTTGCAAGGTCAAGATATTGTCTTTTCTTTTGTCGGACTGAGTTGGCAGGGTGTGTGTGCCCACTTTTTAGGTCACTTAGAAGAACTTCACCCACGATGGTACCTCTCCACAGATGCTGCCACTTTCCTAAGGGCTTGAGCAGAGCATGGCGCTACATTGCATCAGTATGATTTTCATTTTCTCTTAGTTTTTTAGGAGTTAAATTGTATTATGGTTTCAATATACTCGGGCAAATAAGTTCATGTGATCTATACTGACCCTCTCTCGTCGAAAAGTGGTGCTTTTATTGTTACAACCCATGTAGGTAGTCTTTTTTTTTTTTTTTCCAATTTAGTTTAGTCTCGTCTCAAGTGCTAGTGAGAAGACTTGACTATTGTAATTGGAGTATTGCTATTGAGACATAAAATTTTGAGTTAATGATGTGGTAGATAACATAGTCCAATAGTATTATTTTAACTATAACTGTTGGACATCTTTATTGGGATCACATCAATGGACACATCATTAGGAAATGGTATTAGATCATATTATTAGGTACGAGAAGTATTATCTCTGTATTTTTGCCCTTGTGTGATCATATCTTTTTGCCTTGTGCTTGAGCAGCACAGGGACTTAAAGCGTTCTTTTTGTCAGCTTTCTACCACATGAGCGAATCTCACCTGGTCTACAACGTGATGTCACTTCTATGGAAGGTGATCCAGTTAGAGACTTCAATGGGGAGTGTTAAATTTGCATCTATGGTTGCTGCCCTACTTGGTATGTCTCAGGGCATCCCGCTGATACTAGCCAAATCTCTGTTACTGCTTTTTGACCATGAGAGAGCTTACTACCATGAATATTCTGTCGGATTTTCCGGTGTTCTATTTGCCATGAAAGTTGTCCTCAATTTCCAATCAGATAACTACACTTCTGTCCATGGACTTGGGCTACCATCACGTCATGCTGCTTGGGCTGAACTGATTCTCATCCAAATGTTCGTGCCTGGTGTTTCTTTTCTTGGTCACCTTGGTGGAATACTTGCTGGCATTCTCTATCTACGTTTGAAAGCTTCCTATTCGGGGTCGAACCCTCTAATACAATCATAAGCCGTTTTACGAGGATACTGAGCTGGCCTGTGAGGCTTGTGTGGGGCATTTGTCGATTCCAGCGCTTTGGCAGGGGAACTGTTGGTGGGAGTCATACTAGAAGTGCAACTGGCGTGTGGAGATGCCGAGCATGTACATTTGACAACTCTGGTTAGTTAAATGTGTGTGAGATGTGTGGGACAGACCGTTTTGATGATGGACAGTCGTCCCCTGGATCATCAAATCAGACTCACGACCTTCCTATGGAAGAATTATGGCGTCGGAGAGTTCAAAGATTCGGTAGATGATACAACAATATATCACTTTTATGAGTATTTTCTGTCATGTAAGTCTAAGTAAGGTTCATCTTACCCATTTGAGATTTTTTTATTAATTGATGATATTATGTTATTAATGGGGATATAGTATTACCATTGTATTCAATATATACTCACCGCCTGAGAGGTGGTATAGTAATGTAGTCAAAAAGTATTATAATTCAATTTTACTATTTTGCCCCAAAACTCCTATAGTTTAATTATTAGTTGCGGTTTAACTAATTCTGTTGGTTTATCAAGGTTTTGAATAAAATTATTATCAGTATTGGTTTAATAATAACACTTCCTTTTGACTGAAGAGTCCACAAGTTGAATATCACCCCAAGAAATTCAATGAACAATATCAAAAAGTCTGTAACTCTCAGTCTTTGGGCACTTAATTGCCAAAGGAAAAAGGATTAGAAGTTTAATATTGCAAAGACAAACAAAACACGTCTATAATCTTTTGGCATTTGGTTGCTCAACATTAGAAATCCTCACCTAGAATATCAGGAAGCTTTATCCCATGTGCAAATCTTCATCTGGAATGTAGTGTTCTTATTCTTAAACATTGCAAACCAGAAAAGTAATTAATTTTAAACATGCTAATTTAGAAAAGGCATGATAAACAGAAAACCCTAACTACAGATAACTGAAACAACTCAACATTTCCAGTGGATTCCAGTATGGAACATTTCAATTTTAAAGATTCCCAGCCTCCGGAATTTAAAAAATTTTCGGGTTTGAATAACTACTTATGAAACTACCACAAGAGACCATGGCATCAAATATACTGATTTGTCTGCTCAAAAAAAAAAAAAATTTACTGATTTGAGTATTGAAGAGTGTTGGGCTTTCAAGATTGACGAGCATAACAAGTACAAATCCTTAACATTCAATTTAAGTTGTCTCGTATTACACTTGAATGAGAACAAAGTCATAGATGCCTTTCCAAAAATAAACAATAGAAAGAAATTTGTTTACATTGCAGACTTACTATATGGGGTTGATTCTGTAGTGAAAAAATCGGTTGGTCTTGAGGGAGAAGACAAAAAAGGCTTGGGAGGAATTTGCAAAGAGTCTAAGCTCCCTTCCAACATTTCCACAACCCTAGTCATCGCTGGCCGATTTGAGGGATCAGTTTGTATGCACCACAAGCTCACAACTATCATCTTCTTAGCAGTCATATTTTCCTCATCATTCATAATGCTACACAATCCAAGTTCTCCATCTTGTTCAAGTTGTTGGTATATCCAATCCGGAAAATATATTTCACTGGTTTTATCAACAACCACCTCAATATTTTTTTTCCCTCCAACCATTTCTAGAAGCATCATTCCGTAGCTATAAACATCTGACTTGTGAGAGACACCTCCAATGTTTCTACAAACTATTTCTGGAGCAATATACCCAATTGTCCCTCTTGCAGTCAGCATTGAGATGATGCTCTCTTTTCTAGGGCATAGTTTAGCAAGGCCAAAGTCAGAGATCTTTGGGCAGAAATCTTCATTTAGAAGAATGTTATGAGGCTTTATGTCAAAATGCAAGATTCGCGTGTTACAACCACGATGTAAGTACTCAAGTCCTCGAGCGACGCCTATTGCAATTTGGAACAACTTCTCCCATCCCAGTTGACGATATGTCGAGGAACATCCATCATATATGAATTTCTCAAGGGATCCATTAGACATGAACTCATAGATGAGAGCTCTTTTGCGACCCTCGAAGCAAAAACCCAAGAGAGTTACAATGTTAACATGTGAAGTCCTACTAATACTTGCAACCTCGTTAATGAATTCTTCTCCAGAACCTTTTAATTCACTTAAAACCTTCACCGCCACCAGGCTGCCATCATGTAACTTCCCTTTGTAAACAGAGCCAAAGCCTCCTTGACCCAGTTTAACTTTGAAGGAGTTGGTCATCTTCTTAACGTCAGAATAACAGTACCTTTTCAGAGCTATAGATCCGCAACTCTTCAAAAAAACTTCTACATTTTTAAATTTATCTGTTTTGCCCAGTGCAAATTTTCTTCTGAAGCAGAAGACTGTAGCTACTAAAATGCCAATTCCAACAGCAAAAGCGGCTGCAATCACTGAAAGGAGAAAATACCATTATGCAGTACAAGATCAAAAGTATAATTAATTTTCCAGTTTCAAAACTCCATGATGGCGCATATACAAAGAATGTTCATAGTTCGCTTTCACCCCCAAAATAAAACAAACAATCCCTTCCCTTTTTTGGCTTTTCAGACCCTTTCCTCGGAGCCCCTAACTGATCCCAACAATAACACATACAAACAAACAGACCAAAAAAAAGAAGAAAATATTAACATTGTCGTCTGCTGATTTCTATCTGATTTTTTTTTCCCTGACTATTCTAATTGTCACCTTAGGGGATATAAATATATTGAGTGTTATTTCCGTACCATGTCTGGAACCATATTCAAACTTCAATAGATAAAAGTTCGAACCCTTTAGATTTTTCCTTAACTTATGGTCATATGCAGGTTTAATTGCTCTCTACTCACATTTAGTCCAGGTTACAGTAGGCCTAGTCCCCTAGATTTGTACAATCTATTATATATCTTTATATTGTTTCAATGTTTCCACCATGCCAACTGACATAAGTGAAAGAACACATGAAAGTATCTCTCCCTCTGCATGTATTAGTTCACATTTTGGCATTTGTCCTTTTTAACCTCGTGTAGAAAACTAAACCCATAAAGCATTTGTTTTTTTTTTTTTTTTTTCCTTTCCTTTTCATGTCTATCTGGCTTGGTCTTAAATTTGCTGAAATCAGACGATAGAGAACATAAAACTAGAAAAGCTCTACTTAAGGAAGACGATATAAAGTATTGAAGAGGTATATTACCTGCTGCAAGAATTGATTTCAAGTAGGTTTTTCCTGCAATCAATTTCAGTCAGAACAAAATTATTTCAACAATTCATAAGAATAAAAGTGAAGTAATTTACTTTGCATGGTCGAATTTTTTTACTAGATAAGCAAACATTTAAAACATGTCCAACTTATGATGTGCATATGCAAAAGCATTCTCGCATTTGGGTGAGTGAATAAGAAACTTTCTGACACAGAACAATAACCCAAGATCGTCGGACTGAACCTTGACCTTGCCTTTGGGATGAGTCCTAGTTTTGAACTGAACCTGATGATGCACAACAGGCGAGTGTGTGATAAAGTATAATTAATGGACAATTAATAGAGTAATCAATGACAATAATGTAAATATCATATCAACACACATATATATAGTAATTCAGTCCAGGTGACCTACTCCACTTTGAAAAATGACAACGGTGGCCAGAGGACCTTTATTGATAAAGTATGGTAATCGAGAGAGAGAGCAATGGTTAGCTCTAGGAAGGGCACAATAGCTAAGAGAGAGAAGCTAAGTATGTGTAGAGAGGTGTAGAGAGGTGTAGAGAGATCTCAAGAGATACTTAGAGGTGTCTCCAAAGGTGTAAAGTGATGCCTCTCGTGTAGAGAGAGCTTACAATTTATAGGCACAAATCCTTGATTGCACTGACATGTGGGCAAATGCACTAATTCTCTGGGTCGCTACAAAAGGTAAGTGTCATAAAAGGTTGTTTTGATCTTCGAGAGTGAGTATTCCGATAATTGTTTTCCCTACATGTTCTAATTCTTCTTGGACTCCTTCGAACTTGGACTGAGTCGAATTCTTGAACTGGGCTTGACCTGTCATTTAGCTGATTTGGGCTAACTTAATTTATTGGGCCTAGCTCGGTTAGATTTGGGCTCATCATTTGCCCCCATGCCCCAAGCCCTTGAGGTAGAAGAGGTTGAGGGCATGAAAGTCTTTAAATAGAGGAGGATTTCTTGTTTTGCACAGTGTTATCTTCTTTACCCAAAAAAGGTAACTTGCCCCGCACGATTGTAGCTTCTTCAATCTCTTGCTCTGTTTGCACTTGAGAGCTTGTTCACTTGATTTTATAATCACTATGGTTGAAAACCCATTGTTCTGACGGCGATATTCCAATAGCTAGGTAAACTCCACGACGAGGCCTCCTCTTTCACCCAGGATTTAAATACTATTTTTTGGCAAAACCATCATATCCCACTTTAGAACTAGGGCTTAAAATCACCATTTTCCCCTTTTCACATTCCATAAAAAAATTGGTCAAACTTGAAGGAGATAAGCATGGAGACAAGGAGAAGAGGAAGAGGGGCTCAACGATAGGCACTGATGACGACGAGGCGATGGATGGTTCCAGCACGTAAGCCCAGGGACTGGGCGACGTCGGCAAGCTGCTGGGTGTCGCTAACGCCCTGGGCAACGCCATGGGTATAAGGGGCGATGGTAGTTTGTGTTTGTGTGATGGCGATCACATCTTCAAGGGCTTGGGCTACGACGATTCAACCTCCACAGATTTGCGCTACGTCGAAGAGGGAGATGTCGACGAGGGAGGTGATGTAGGACTTGAGCAAGGAGTCGACACCCATATGCCTGGAGGTGGCGAGCCCATGAAAGGCGACGGGCTTGACAGCGACACCTTGGAAGAAGGCATTATAGGCAGCGCCATTGGGGTAGCCCCTTCATGCAACTCTGAGGAAGGAGGAGGCAGGGCTTGTGAGGGGGTACCAGGTCGCGCCAATGCCGAAGCCCAGACGCTGGGTTGTTCTAGCATGCTGGGTGGCAACAAGGACATGGCGGGCGACGGCTTTCTGGACCTGGGCTGCATCGAGAAATAAGCAGGCTCCTAGAGAGGTGACGTCATTGTAGACGAAGACAATGGCAACGCCATTGAAGGACAGGGCGACGCCAAGCAGGTGGGCAGCGCGACTCAAACCCGTGGCGAGCGCTGGGCAGGTGGGCCTGGGGCAAGTAGTGCCAATAGGCGTGGGCCAGGTGAAGGCCATGCCAGGGCGAGATCCAAGGTAGTCATAGGCACTAAGGACAACGTTGGTGAGGGAGATGGCGATTCTAGTGAAGGCTTGGGCATGCTTGTTCTTCAAACAGGTGAGATATTCTTCAAAGTTACACAACATTATTTCCCATGGACTAAGCCTCAGAGAATCTCCCATTAAAAGTTATAAAACATTATTTCGGGTTGTGTCATCATCCGGACATATATTGGTATTCCCTTGACATTGACCTTGATTTTGTCTTGGTTCTGTTTAGGGGTGTAACTCGGGTGGGTTGGACAATCAACACTAGCCCAACCCTAGGTATATAATCTTTAACCCTAACCCTAACCCTACCTCGAGTTGGAGAACTCAACCCGAGCACTGTCCGAGTTTAATTTATGCAGGCTCGGGTTGAATTTCGGGTTGATGATTTTGGACAAATTTCGGGTTATTTTACGGGTTCAATTCGGATAGAGCCCAAAATAGACTTGTTGTTTTAAACCTAATACATATATTACATAATATTCACCTAAATTAACAACCAATAACTTCAGGTTCGAAACCTTAACCCAAGCGCAACTCAAATTGAATTCGGGTTGGAGTTTTTTGACCCAAACCCAACTTAAGTATTAAAAATCCTTGCCCAAGCCCTAATTTTTTTGGGTTGAGCTTGGGTTAAAATCGGGTTGCCTAACCCAAGTTGCACAACTAGTTCTGTTTGTTGGCAGACAACCACTCTGACAAGGTCACCGTGGGGGAGACTACTCAAGACATTGAACGAAGCAAGGGATTGCTGGAGATAATGGCTCAAAGGTGACTTCCATATTCAGCTCCATTGACTGCGATGATTATATCACTTATATCGTATTCTCATACCGTATCCCTCCTGCTGTCATGCGTCGTCAGACAGAGGAGGATAAGCCAGCATGTAGTGACTCCTCAGGTGAGATTGTTCTTTATGAGGATGCCGTTTGAGGTTCCTGATACCTAGGCCCATATGTCAAGTCCTAGGACATTTGTCACTGGCTCCTTGGAGGTTGGCTCCCAACGGGTGGAAGGTGATATTGACATTATTCTTATTATGGCTGCTGGTTTACAGTGCTGACCTCCCTTCCCCATCTGAGGAATTTTTGGCCACGTATGTGCTTCTGGCTAACCCTTTTCCTCATCAAGGGTGGTGTCGTTTCACCCCAAGGTTGAACAAGTTCATCACTGGGCTTCCTTTGAACTGTCATAGCTGGAAGTCTAAGTTCTTCTTTGTTGGAGGCGAGTGGGCCACCGAGGGAGATCGTGACCTAGTGCCTTTGAGGTGGGATACTGTCCCGAGAACCAAGTTAGGTAAGGATTCCACTTACGCTTTTACTTCTAGTCGTCACTTATTTGTTTTCACTATATGATTGGCTTTTATGTAGTTTCACCGACATTATCTGCAAAGCAAGAAAGTAGGCTCCAGATAGTTCGTGACCATCCTTTTAAGGAATTCTCGAAAATTTTGTTCGCATCAAGTCGTCACAAGGTTTCTCATAGGCCGAAGAGGAAAGGTACTTGATCCTTCCAATAGACTCTTGATGGTTACGACATTGTAAGTTTTTTGTCTCACACCAAGTTTGCATGTACTTATATTAATAGGGCGATGGTGGAGGTTGTCTACGCTTCTAGGGTGGCATCTGTCCCTCTTTCTGCTAAGAGGGCGAGGTCTGATGCCTTCGGTGTTTCTCGACTAAGGTCTACCATATAGGATAGTCCCCGAGAGGTGGGACTTGATGATGCCCCCACTCTTTCCCCTATTGTGGTACCATCGTCTTCTAGAGTTCATCCCAGTCTGGCCGTAGGGATAAAGGTTTCAGTGCGATCTCCTACGAGGACCGAGGCTCTGCCTGGCTGTCCTGCTTTTGGTAGTGGTTCGGTGTCTATGCTGTAGGACTTGAATCTGGCCAAGGAGTGATTGTGGGGGTTTGTGATCGCTGCGAAGATCCAGAAGGTTGGTTCTCGAGGTTAAAAGGGCGTCATCGACATATCGATGGAGGGATTCGCTTTAATATGCCCTTTACTCATCTCTGATCTTGTACCTGGCTTCCTTCTTTCATGTTTTGGCTTTTGGATACCCGTAGGTGGCTGCTGCCTTTCCTTGTTTGTTTTCGAGCACGTTGAAACTTAGAGAGGCGCGTAGTGGTCAGGCAGCAAAGAGACAAGCACGGAGGGCTTCTAAGGAATAGCTAGGGCTTGAGAGACAGCCACAAGAGGCTGCCTATGAGCAGTCAAGGCTAGCACACGAGAGAGTTGCCACACTTGAGAATGAGCTTCAAGCGTCCCGTGAGAGAGCAGCTCAACTAGAGGCTAACAGAGAGGCTGCATGCGCGAGAGCAGAGACAGAGTTGCGAACGTCCCATGAGAGGGCCGCTGTGGCAAAGGCTGACCTTCTAGCAGCTCTTCAGAGAGCTACCAGGGTAGAGGCTTACTCCGTGGAGATGTAGAAAAAGAGAGATGCTACTGAGAGGGCCGTGGCAGGTGCCTTTATTGATGGCTATGGGAGCTCAAGGGGAAGGTCTCAGTAACTTTTCCCGCTTATGATTTTTCTTGCTTTGTCCCTTTTGAGACTCCAGGGACTGATGACGAGAAGGCAAGCGATCATGGGAGTAGATCGGGCGACAGTGAGTGACGTCAGGAGCAGGGTATCTTTATATTTGTGTTTTTGTTGCTAGCCATGTTCTATCTTTTGAAAATGATTTATGAACTTCTATGAGATACGACTTTTAAAAAAAAAAACATTGCAAAATTTTGTTTCATAATTTGAAATAAATATCAAGGGAAATTGACCAAAACAATAATAGATAATCTAAATGGTGACTACTAACTTATACACTCACTGCTTTGTCCCCAGCTACTGGTAATATTTTTTTAAGTGCTCTACGTTCCATGGATGGGCCAGAATTTTTTCCTCAGGATTCTGAATTCTGTAGGTGCCCAATTTTATAACTTTCGTGACCATGTAAGGTCTTTCCCAGTCAGGTCTTAACTTCCCTTCTTGGGAATCTTTGGTACACAGGATGACTTTTTTAAGGCCTAGGTCCTCGGGCAAGAAGGAGCGAGACTTCACCCTTGAGTTGTAGTACTTGACCATGCGACGCTTGTACTTTACATTCTAGAGCATATTTATCTCCCTTTCCTCCTCTATTATGCGGAAACCTTCTTCATTACTGGTAGGGTCATTGTGCTGGACCCTAAGGAAGTGTATCCCAATCTTAACGGGTATGACCGCCCTGTCCCGTAGGCTAGCAAAAAAAGGAGTCTCACCCGTAGGGCTTCTTGGTGTCGTTCGGTAAGCCCACAACACTAGTTTCGTGTCGTCGCCCTCGCTGGTGGAGGACTCATCCACGTATAGTCTCTGCTTCAACTTTAATATTGTAAACCCAAGCGCAAGTTAAGCGAAGTAATATAATTCTCGGAAGACTGAGGTCGAATCCTCAAGGAATTGTAACAAGAAAGCAATCATACAAATACTTAAACAAACTTAAAAATACATAATTTGTTTAGAAAATTGTTGAACAAAGAAAATTGATTTAAATAATTAAAATAGTAATAAAAGTACTAGAGTATCAAGTACTCCCTCTCAATTTCATACAATAATGATTAAAGACTCAAATCTTAACTTGAGACAAAAATCAGATATCGGTTGATTCGAGTAGCAAATCAAGTAAGAAAACTAAAAGTTATAATCAAAAGATTATTTAGGAACCTGAATAATCATCAAATTATATTATTTTATGAAATAATGATAATTACCTCAAACGTGGAATAATCAGTTATTTACTCGTAGAAAAATTCAAGCAATCAATGTACATGACACAACGACTCAAAGATTTTTATAGAGCAAAAATTTTGCTATAAAATCAAAAGTGAAATTAACAAAATATCATACGTCATTAAACTCAGAATCAATAACATTATTGTACTTCATTGAAAGGTTCTCCCCTAGTCCTAGCTTAACCTTCTAGCCATATATGACGAATTAAAATAAAAATAAAAAGATGAAAAAAAAATAGAATAATAATCTCTAAATGAGAATCCTTATTTATACTAAAAATAAATCCTAAGTATAGATAGAAGATATATGGTTGGCTTGGAAGGAATTCCTTTCCCAAAGTCTTGTAAGGTTAAATTTCAAGCATAAAATCTTTGGAGCATGGATATAAAATCTGTCCAGACTTCGAGCTTGAATTTCGCATATTTAGAGGTTGGATCACGAAAATTTCATAGCCCTTGAAGTTTTGTGGGTACAAAATCTGTCCAAACTTTTGTAGCCCTTGAAGTTTTCTGTTCAACCCCCAAAAATTAAATAAATCGGATATCAGAATCAAAAGTTATGACCAAAATACTGAAAATATGTCAAATCTTATCTTCTAAGATACTTTCCTAATCCAACTCTAAATGAGTTTTCTTCCAACTTTGACTCTTAAAAGGATTAAATTGTTGTCATATCTTAAAGTCTTCCTATTTCAATCTTGACTCTTCAATTCTTATCAATTATGATTCTTCCTATAATGATTGATTCACTTGCATTATTCATTATTACTTTAAATCAACCAATTTACCTACAAAATAAACCAAACAACTAGAAAAAAATATCAAACTAGAAAATCAACAAATTTAACACATTTAATAACAAATAATTTGCAATTAACCAATAATTAAATATAATAAAATAATAATTTTGATGGTTAATCAGTCTCCAAGATGGTACAATAGACAGTAGCGAGGGCGCAGAGGGCTCTGATGGAGTTGGCATAAGGGAGTCGGGCACCTCTAGTCTCGAAGTGTAGTCTCCTGGGGCCTATGGAGGTGTC